GTGTGTTCAGCACGCCCAAATTGTCCAGAAATGGCGAATCGAAGTCCACGGTTTGCTCGGACGCTGCCTCCGAGGATGCGACTTATCTACAGGAAGTTAGGGAACTGCATTAAAGCTGTAATAAGATTTTAGTTTGTCACGAGATCAGGTATTTGATTTTGTATGTTACTATAAAATTATCCAGAAACTCTCCTTACAATGAGTAAATCATCTAGGCAATGTAGAAATGGTATATACACATCCTGTTTCCCCATAACGTCGATTATGCAGGAAAAGTAACGATTAATACGGCACTCCAGCTCTCCATGTTGACAAGTTATCGTTCCATTCTACAGCTGGTACAATTAGAAAAACTTTCTCATTATAGCCACATGCTTCACTTACTTTATACTGTGCATTACCATAGGGCACATATTCAATGTTGATAAAGTCAGCAAAGTTCTTGTAGACTTTGGGATAAACATAATTTGTAAACCAATCATTACACATAGGACAAAGTCCCTCGGAGAAAATTGTTAAGTTGACACGTTGATTGTAAGTAGCAGCATTGTAACTGAAAAGAGTGCGATGGCCTTGGAAGTTCAAGAACAAGCAAAGAAAATGTGAGTAGATGTTACTTTGAACCTTACTTGTCACAAAATTCTTTGAATCCACATTCTTTCATAACTGTTTCGCTGCTGCACCAAAGTGTTGGTGGGACTACGGCACAACGATTGAAGGCATAGGCTGGTACGGCCAGGAAAATTGAGACGACTAACAACTGCATTTGGCTCACACTGGCAACTCAAATCTGAAACAACTTTCAATGGTTGGTGCTCAAGCTTTTTCACTAATACAATCTCGAACACTGAAACAACATTCTGTGGCTGACAAGCATTGCTCAAAATTATTTTGTGAAAAAATTGCAAGTGGTGGTCTAACAGTCAAAAAGAAAATGGAATAATTGCAGAAATCTTCTTCTCCTTTTCAAACAAAACGAATAACCAGCTGACTGAAATTGTTTTGGAAATTTGGGATCATTGTCTGTGAATTAAGATCTATTGCGATCACCTGTAATTTATAATTTTTCAAATTGTTGGCACAGGTTGCTTTAGCTTACACGTTGCTCAGTCAAATGCCGATTTCGAAAATTCGAAAAGATTAATTTTTCGGTTTACACTTGTACTCCTTTACCCGCAAGTAA